AACGAAGACTTTAAAAAAAAGACAAAGAAGACAAAATTTAAAACCAAAAAAGACTAAAGAAAAGACAAAAAAGACAATAAACAGAGGAAATTAACAGAGGGATAACGAAAGACTAGAGAAAACTAAGAAAATAACTACTAAGACTAAAGAAGGCAAAGAAAAATGCGAAACACATTAACGAAGACAAAAGAAAAAAACAAAGAAAGAAAAAGACTAAGAAACTAACGAAGAATAAAGAAGAAGCAAAAAAAGAAAAGAAAAAGAAAACTTAACGAAGACGAACAATGAAGACTAAAGAAGGACAAAGAGAAAACTAAGAGAAACTAACAAAGACTTAGAAGAAAAAAACAAAAAAACTAAGAAAACTTAACGAACACTTAACGAAGACTAGAGGAAACTAAGAAAGTTCTGAAGAAAAAAAATAAAAAACAAAGAAAACTAAGAAACACTAACGAGGACTTAAAAATAAAAAGACAAAAGAGACTAAGAAAACAACTAACGAAGACTTAAAAAAAAGACCAAAAAAAAAAAGACTAACGGAAACAACTAGTCTAAAAAAAAAACAAAAAAAAAACCAAAAAGACAAAGAAAACTAACAAGCGACTAAAGAAGAAGACAAAGAAAGAATAAGAAAATTAATGAAGACTAAGAAGAAAGCAAAGAAGACTAAGAACATACTAACGAGATAAAGAAAAGACAAGAGACAAAGAAAACTAAACAAAGGACAAAAGAAGAAGTGTAAGGAAAACAACCGATGTATAAAGAAAAAACAAAGAAACCTAAGAAAACTAACTAAAACTAAAGAAATTAAGACAAAGAAAGGAAAAAAGAACTAAGGAAAACTAAACTAAAACTAAGAAAAAGACAAAGAAACCTAAGCAAAACTAACTAAAAACCTAAGAAAAAGACAAAGAAGAAACCATAAGTAAAACTAACGATGACTAAAGAAAAAAACAAAGACAACCTAAGAAAACTAACTTAAAAAATTAAAAAGTGAAAAAAGACAAAGAAACGCTAAGGAAAACTAACTTAAAACTAAAAGCAAAAAGACAAAGAAACCTAAGAAAACTAAAAACTAAAACTAAAGAAAAAAAGGACCATAGATAACCTTAAGAAAACTAACGATGACTAAAGAAAAAACAATGAGAAGAACCTAAAAAAAACTAACCTAAAACTAAAGCGAAAAAGACAAAGAAAGAAACCTAAGAAAAACAGCTAAAACTAGAAGAAAAAAAACAAAGAAACCTAAGAAAACTAACTTAAAACTAAAAGAAAAAGACAAAAGAACAGCTAAGAGAAAAACTAACTAAAACTAAAGAAAAAAGACAAAGGAAGAAGAAACCTAAGTAAAACAACTAAAACTAAAGAAAAAGACAAAGAAACCTAAGAAAACTACTAAAACTAAAGAAAAAGACAAAGAAAAACCTAAGAAAAACTAACGATGAGCTAAAGAAAAAACAAAGAAACCCTGGTAAGAAAACTAACTAAAACTTAAAAGGGGGAAAAAAGAACAAAGAAACCCTAAAGGAAAACTAACTTTAAAACTAAAAGAAAAAGACAAAGAAGAGGAAACCTAAGAAAACTAACTAAAAAACAAAAGGGGGTGAAAAGAACCTAAGAAAACTAACTAAAACTAAAGAGGGGGGCTGGGTGAGGGGGAAAAAGACAAAGGACAGGAAACCTAAGAAAACAACGATGACTAAAGAAAAAAACAAAGAAGAAACCTAGAGAAAAACTAAAAAAACTAAAGAAAAAAGACAAAAGAAACCTAAGGAAAACTAACTAAAACTAAAGAAAAAGAACAAGGAAAGGAACCTAAGAAAACCTAACGTAAAACTAAAGAAAAAGACAACAGAAACCTAAGAAAACATTAACGAAAACAAAGAAAAAAAGACAAAAGACCTAAGAAAACTAAACGTATGACTAAAGAAAAAAACAAAAGAAGAACCCCTAAGAAAACTAACTAAAACTAAAGAAAAACAACGAACAGAAACCTAAGAAAACTAACTAAAACTAAAGAAAAAGACAAAAAACCTAAGAAAATAACTAAAACTAAAGAAACAAAAGACAAAGAAGAGAAGAAACCTAAGGAAAATAACTTAAAACTAAAGAAAAAAACAAGAAACCTAAGAAAACTAACGGATGACTAAAAGAAAAAAACCAAAAAGAAGAAGAAAACCAAGAAAACTAACAAAACTAAAGAAAAACGACACAAGAAACCTAGAGAAACTAACTAAAACTAAAAGAAAAAAGACAAAGAAAGAAGAACTAAGAACTAACTAAAACCTAACAGAAAAAGACAAAGGAAAGAGAAACCTAAAGTAAACTAACCTAAAATTAAAGAAAAAGACAAAGAACCTAGATAAACTAACTGAAACTAAAAGGAAAACAAGACAAAGAAGAAGACAGACAAACCTAAGAAAACTAACGATGACTTAAAGAAAAAAACCAAAGAGAACCCCTAAGAAAACTAACTAAACTAATAGGAAAAGACAAGAAA